CCCACCACAGCTGTATTTGTATACAAGACAGCTGCTGCCAGATGATAGTTAGACATATATTTGGTCGTTACCATCACTCATACTATAGCTGGATAGTCAGGGAGGCCAGAAAAAACCTGGAATATACAGGAAACCTGGATGGGGCCAAGACAACCAGCAGCTTCCCCACAAAGCTTCTATCTTACAATTTTCATTGCTCTTTGTTGGGATATTTGTCAAAGTGAACTCCCTTATCACATTGACCTTTGTTCTGAGTGTTCGTTGTTGACATATGATTGGTCAGTTGATCTTTCATTCGGTTTTACACATGCCCAGAGAAACATTTGAACTTTGGACTATTGGATATCGCCTTTTTGTGGCTGTTGACAAGCTTATCCTGTTACTATGAGATTATAACTAGGTTTGAAGGTGACAAACGTGTTGTCTCATTAACTTGAATTTATATATTGTTATATATTGTTATATATAAATTTGCTTAAACTACGGTGGCCCAGAAGGGCCATCGTTTAAAAAAAGTAACACTAAAAGAAAAGAAAAAACGCAAGTCAACATAATAACATCACAAGTATAAAAAGTCACAACGCCAGTAAATGAAATCACAACACAAATAAAAATGTCGCGACGCAAGTAAAAAAGTTACAACGCAAGTAAAAAGTTACAACGCAAGTAAAAAAGTCACAACGCAAGTAAAAAAAAATCCATAGCGCAAACTCAATAAAAAATTTCACAACGCAAATAAAAAAAAGTCACATAATTATACAAGTGTAATCTACTTCTCAGATCTACTAGCCTACGGTGTAGACCCCAGCAGAAACACGTAGGCTACAGATCTACATACTCAAGTGATAGTTGTGTTGATTTGAGAGGTAGAGTGCTCGGCACGTTAAACGTGGACGGCTGACTTCAGTCAAATACGTAGCCAACTAGCGAAGCACAAATGGTGGATTTTGAAGGCATTCTTGGGTATCAGTGTCAGTCCCCTTACACGCGCAGTGAAATATAATGTGTGATAGCGGGTTGTATACGCAACTGTGATTGTTAGAAACATTTGTGTTTTATTCAGGTCGCTTTCGGGATGGGGTGTTGAACGTCGAATTGCTGAGTAACAATTACGCAATATGCCGAGTTTTTTTCTCGAAAACGTAAATGATCTTTATTAAATTTGTTAACTCGTACCAATTTCTTACTAAAAACATCAATTCATTGTAAATATTAAGTACTATGGATATATCTTTACAATTACAAACTTCTATACAAGCACGACTGTAAGCGGATTTATAAACATAATTAACAATTAGACAACGAGGCCGAGTTGTCTTTGAGCGAATAGTCGGCGAGGCGAAGCCGAGTTGACTATTTGCTCATAGACAACGAGGCCGAGTATAAACTTTAAAACGGGTTTTTTTAGTACAGAATTGTTCAACAAGTCGTCCAAAAAATCATCAGACACTTCGGCAAAAGTGCAAAACGCGAATTTTCCGCCATTTTGAATTTTCTATTAGAAGGCACGATATGTGATAGCCTATTAGTAGGTTTATACTAATAGCATTTAGTATAACCCTACTAGTAGGCTATCACATTTCGTGCCTTCTGATTGGGCATCTAAGACCTCTCGAAACTGCCTTCTGTAGAACTCTCGCAAAGAAACCACAGCTACCGTTTCGGCTTGTTCATCTAGACGTCTAGGTGCTCTTCGTGGACGGTGATGTCGGTTGAAGTCGTTTTCTGGATCAATGCCGAGGCTTCTGGCGAAGATTAGGGATGATTCAATCTGATCGTCCATCATTTTGTCGTCAGCTCGTATTTTCTCCATAATACTCAAGGTAGCTTCCACAAGGCTAGTCGCATCCAGAATGTTGAGTTCAACTGTTTGGAGCTGAACCACCAAACGTTTTGTTTTATATGCAATGTTCTTCATGAACATTAGCGCAATAACAAGATCAAGCGAAAGCATTCTTTTCCTTAAGCCCATTGCTTGCGTTTGGGTTTGTTGATCTGCTTTATTGGTGATCTGCTGTAGTACATCCACGACTACATCAAATGATGTCCAGACGGCTTGGATACTCTCTGCTCTGGCACTCCATCGCGTTTTGGACAAGTTTCTAAGCATTAAACAGTTCTCAACATTGGTTGTTTCCCCTTTCAATGGTTGAAAACGTTTTGTTCTCGATGTGAAGAAAACAAAAAGTGCTTGGAGTATGTCAAACATTTCACGGACGATGACACTCGCGTTGCAACTATGCTCGATCACAGTGTTGCAGCGATGTGCTTGGCATGGTATGGTATGGTATGGTATGTATGGGATATCACGACCAACAATTTCGGACAGTCTCTGCTGAGCACCATTGAACTCACCAGACATGGCAGCTGCAAAGTCGTGGTAATCGTTCCATGTTTCGCGCACCAATATAGTAAACGTTAATTAAGTACACGGCAATTCAAAAATTATAGCAAAGATGCATTTTGTTATGACCTACATAAGATATTTCAAACGCAATCAAGCCAATCTCCTGATCCTAATTCACTATGGCAGGAATGGAAAACAAAGTTTCTATTAATTTCTGATATGCATGCGCCTCAAATGACTCGCAAAGTAAGAAGTGAGTATGCGCCCTGGATTACAGAAAATATTAAGAGACATATCTACCACAGGGATTTTCTTAAGAAAAAAGCGGTCAAAACTGGATCTTCCAATTTACACGATGCTTACAAAAGAGCTCGAAATGATTTAAATAGATTGATTGAAAAGACTAAAACCGAATATTTTACGAGCATAATTAATAATACTGCTAAAAATCCAAAAGAAATGTGGAAGACAATTAATAGAATTACAAACAAAAAGTCCAAGATAGCAAATATAACTAAGATCGTTGTTGATGATAAAGTGATTGAGGAGCCAGAAGTTATTGTAAATATATACATTTAACAACTTTTTCAATGAAATTGGAACAACTCTGGCTCAAAAACTACCAGAAAGTACAAGGACACCCGAGTCATATATTAAACCTGAGAATGACTCTACATTCGAATTACAGAATGTAACGGAGGTCGAGGTTTTTGGTATAATTTCAGCATTATCCTCATCCAAGGCTATGGGCCATGATAGAATATCACCTAAACTTTTAAAAGACTCGGCCGGTGTGATAACCTCTAGCTTAACTGAAATATTTAACCAATCGCTGTTGACTGGTGTTTTTCCAGACGACTTTAATTAAGGTCGCAATTATATCACCAATCTTTAAATCAGAAAGCAAATTAGAGTGCAATAACTATAGGCCAATTTCAGTACTTTCAGTTGTAGCTAAAGTTTTTGAAAAACTTATCAAATCAATTGTCAACATTTCTGGAAACAAGAGGCATACTCACACAACAACAGGCAGGTTTTAGGAAGAAAAACTCAACAGAAACATCGCTTTTAAATTCTACTAACAAGTGGTTTATTAACATGGACAAAGGATATTTAAATGGAGTTATTTTCCTAGACCTTAAAAAAGCTTTCGATTGTGTAAATCATGATATTCTAATTAGAAAACTAAAGTCGTATGGGTGCAGTGAAAATACTCTTTGCTGGTTTAAATTATACTTAACAAATCGACGTCAGATGTGCAAAATTGGTCGTACTATATCTCAGGAACGTGTTATTCGCTGTGGTGTACCACAAGGCTCTACTTTGGGGCCGTTATTATTTTTACTTTACGTAAATGACCTCCCAAGTTGCCTATCTCATTCAATAGCTAGTATGTTCGCTGACGATACAAATTTAACAACATCTGGGAAGTCCATAGAAGATATACAAAACCAGTTAAATTCTGATCTAGAAAATATTCATACGTGGCTGTTAACCAACAAATTGACTCTTAACAAAGAAAAAACAGAGTATAATTATGATAATTAGCTCTCGGCAACGGTTAGCGAAAATTGATGACGATCCGAAGATAAGTCTTGACGGTATTGATACAAAAAGAGTTAAACAAGCAAAAACATTAGGTATTGTCATCGACGAAAAATTACTATGGAAAAATCAAATTGATGAAATAACTACCAAAGTTTCTAGAGGAATTGGCATGTTAAGGAGAATGAAAGCCTATGTTCCCGGCCCCAGGAAACTTTAAGGACTGTTTATAGTGCACTGATAATGCCACATTTCGACTATTGTAGCCTTGTCTGGGATAATTGCAGTAATTATCTACTTGAAAAATTACAAAAACTACAGAACAGGGCTGCAAGAGTCATAACTGGAAAATCCTATGAAACTCGTTCAAGTGAGATTTTAAAAAACTTAGGGTGGCAACCGTTGCTCGACCGAAGAAAAGACAAAAGGGCATTATTTATGTTTAAAATAAGAAATAATGAGTTTCCCGTGAAACACGGTCTGCGTTACGGAGGCTAGTTTAACACTAGCAACAATAAAAACTATAACCTTCGCAGTAACGAATTAGATTTTGCACTTCCAAAATCGAATACGAATTATTGGAAAAAAAGCTTCAGTTATTCAGGTGCTGCGCTTTGGAATGATCTGCCGAAGCGCGCAAAAGATAGAGCAATATCAGTTGGTCAGTTCAGGGCTATTCTCAATAACATGGAAGAACGAGCTTGTAAATAGAGTAATACTAATACCTTTTATAACATTTTATATACCCTTTTTAGAAGTTCTTTTATAGTATGTAATATATGTAAAATTTTGTTTTTGTGCCTTAATTTAGCAACGGCTCCTTGAAAATCAGTCGTAATTCACTGAAGGGCCTACCGTTGTAAAATAAGATTAAATAATAATAATAATAATAATAATAACGTTATGTAATGGATATTATATTGTACTGAAAAGTTAACTGAATACCTCCATACACGTATATACACACCCTAACCTTAAACCTAACCCCTAACCCCTAACCCTAATACCTAACCCCTAACCCTAACTTATATTGGTGCGCGAAACATGGAACGATAACCAAAGTCGTATGATTGAAAGCATAGGTCATCGGTATCCACTCCACACTGCTCTATCGTAGATAGGATAGGATGTCTTTCGTTTGACCAAGACGTGTCTTATCAACAGTCTCCCTCGCATCAATCAGCCTTTCGGTTGGCTTTCCCGCGTCGTTGACGTACCTAAGAACAACAGAAAGTCTGTCCGAGTGCTCTTCGTCAGGAGTTGTGTTTGCCATCACAGAAAACATCCCTGCACTCTTTACTTCTTCCACAACTTTTTCTCTCAGTTCTGCTTCGAGCAAAGCGATGAACTCGTTCTGCGACTGAGGACTCAAATAGGTGGCGTGGTAGGGATTCATCCTTTTGTCAGTTATATATCCACCGACGAAGACTTGGGACATGTCTACTAACCAATAGGACCAACTGGTAAAAGTTGCCTTCTTCGTTACTGTCACCGCTGAATGGAAGAGCTTGCCGGGCAAGTGTTCTTGCGATGTCCAAAAGGATGTGGATGATTTTACGGTTGCATTCAAGGTCTTCGGCTTCCTGGATTTGTGCGGCCCTTTTAGCTTTATCCAGTTGGATATCCACATGTTTCGTCATCTTTAAATAGTGGCAGTATGCTGCTAGAGAAGCCTTGTGACTTTGCGACGAGAAGTGTTGAGCCAGTTTTCCTTGTTTGTTCTTTCCAACACTCTTCATCTTGTGCCATTTTCTTACTATCGTACTTATCCAGCTTGGGTCTGCCTTCTCTTTGGAGGGCGCGTTGTGGAATAGCAAGCATACGAAACAAAACACAGCATCTTTCTTGATACTATATTCTAAGTGTAGGTACTCGTTATACCATCGTGGCGAAAAACGGCTAGCTGGGAAACAAGACAATTTCGGCTGAAAAGGCCCATGTTCAATCAGGTGCTCCTTTTGGTTTTCTCCGCAGACCTCACGTCCTCACCGCGTAAGCCTGGCTCATGCTCTACAGACACCTGAGAAGAGCTTGCGTCGTTAACTTTGGCTTTCTTCGTTTGGATTTGATGAAGTAAGCTGTCAGTGTTTTTCAGAAATCTACCGCAGCTTTCTTGTACCTGTTTGATAGTGTCCTGTGCATCTACAATCCATTGTTCAACATTAGGAATGTCTGATGTTCTTGCATCATTTACCATTTCTTGGCAACCATACATTAATTCGATCCAATCTGATTTCTGAGACTCGGAGACTGGATCTTTTTAAAATAGTTTCGGTAACTGAATCTTCAGTGTCGGAATTTGAATTTTCATTTTCAGAATTGAAATCTTCCTGATTTAAGGATGTGGTACGGAGTTCTTCTTCGACAAGGTCGCCAAAACAGTCGCATGGTACCACTTCAGATTGGGAAAAATTGTTCATTTTCTCATTGGGGTCTAAATCTAGTGTTCCTGTAGAGCTAACCGAGATTGGTAATTTTGGCTCTTGGCTTGTATGGGACGTCTGTGCATCAGTTAGAGACCGGTCATAAAGTAACTGCTAGGGTGGGCCGGAGTGATTTGGGATGGGCCATGGAAAATCTTTGGGCAGTTTCGATGGGCCGCCAATTATTTTGTATGTCTACGGTTGGGCCACCAAACAAAAACCCATATCTACTTTCATCCAGGGACGTAGGAAGCCAGGGGGCCTCGGCGCCAACCATGGTGGCGCCTCGTGGGAATCGCTCCCCCCCCCCTCCCTAACTTTTACAAGCTTCCCTGCTTTCATCACTTATTATAAATATAATAGCAAATAAGATTTTAAAATCAAACATAATACAAATCTAACAGGGCTGTACACTGCACAGAGGGCAGCAGGGGCAACTGCCCACGCCCTAAAATTTAACTAATTTTATAATGTGATTATGCTTGTAACAGATCATTATATTAAATAATTATAGATAATTATAATAAAAATTTCATGCAAACAATTTTCAAAGTGTCTATACAACCGGCTATTTAGTAAACTGTCACTTGTCAATCCATACTCATCGAATTTTCAAAACTTTATTGTGATCATATGAAGCAAAAGTTCTGTCACTTGTTGTTTACACTTGCCAATGCCTGTTAACTGTTGAGTAACATACACACTATTCGAGGAATAGCTGTTTGAGTAGAAGGTATCACAAGTTTAGTTTTGTACATTGTGTGCCATTGATCTGATCCATCCATATAATATATGATTATTGTAGCTGTTAAGTTATTTTCCATACTGATGAATTTAGGTAAGATTGTCTTGCAATATCCAGTAGATCAAAATATATTCATCATTCTTGTATTAATCTCTAAACAAAAACATTTATATTAGAAAGCAAAATGACAATGTAATGAGGAGGCAGGGTGGGGATTCCTTTATTAGCATTTGAAAATGGTTGTAACAATTTTGTTTAATTAACCCTATTGTGTAAAACTTGAAAATGTATATAGTAAGTATAATTTTAACTGATGACATCTTTACCTTTGCTCTAACACTACATTTGATGACAACTTAGTTGGACTGTTGTTTTGAACAGAGTTACAGAAATACAGGACCAGGATTTAATTCAATATCTCCTGAGAACATTAGTTTCTTGTGATATTGTTAATTGGCAATATAATGCCTGCAGCCAGAGTTTTGATGTTTAAAATATTACACAATGATTGTTTTTATACTGTATATAAAATGTATATAATAAAATATGTGGTATTTGGCTACTTACCAGATGAGGACAAGTTTCCATGTTGATAGATAACTTTGGAATAATATCACAAGTAGAATGGTGAAAACAAGACAGCCAATTCAAGATAAAATCAAGATATTTTTGAAGCCAAAATATTCCAAAGAATAACACGAGTACTCGACTTGCACGAGGCCAAACTACGCCCGTTCGCAGGTTAGGTGTGAGCACAATGTAAACAATTGATGTAAGCTAATCGCTGATTGGCTTAATTATATAAGCTCGTCGCTGAACCTGCTTCGCAGATACAAAAATAGAGATATACACCAGCACTGTATTGATATATGTTCATACCTGCAAATTTTTTCATTATAAAAGTGTATTTTCCCAATTTAGATTGGGTGGGTGGGTCATGAAATAAATTTGGTAAGATTGGATGGGCTTTGAAATTTTTATCTACATCCTAAGATGGGTCACCAAATTTATTGGCAAAATTTGTGATTTACCTCCAGCCCACCCTAGCAGTTACTTTATGACCAGTCCCTTATGCTCATTTGGTTGAAAAAAAATGCTTGGCTTTAATTAGAAGAAATACGCACAAAATAAGGGCCAAGGCACAACAACATGTACTTTTCGTAAACTAAACCTTCGTGCAAATTGATTACGTTAACTTTAAAATATTAAAACTTTACTTGATGTCAAAGATAGGTAACTGTTTAAACTAAACTGTTTAAACTGTTTAAACTGTTATTGAGTCTCGAGAACACTCTCTCAGCCGCAGCAGAAGATGGTTGTGGAAATAGTACAGGAAATATAGTTTTCCTAAGCTCACTGAAACTGCATGAACACCTAAAATATAAAAAGTTTTGCTTTTAACAACCAAAATGCAGACGAAATTAGCGGGAAAATGCTAAATTATGCTAGCCATTCTTTTTTGAAAAAAATGCAAAAAATATGCTCGATAAGCCAAATTATGCTGAAAATTATGCTAGCATAATCGGGAAGGGCCTAGGATCTTCCCGCCATAGGACGTCAACATTTTGAGGGATAAGTGTGACGTCATTTTTGGAACATTTGTCACATAACATTTGTCGCGTGATCTTTTGGAATTTTGAGATGGCGTCAGCAAAACGTATAAAAAACGGGAGTTTTATATTTATTTTAAAGTGGAAAGTTTATGTGATATGTTTGCTGCAATGAGTATTTCTTTGGAGGTGCCAAACGATTTGGTTGTGGATGAAGTATCTTATGAAATGAAGAATGTTTGTGATTTGATGAATGCTGTGTTTTTCGAAGCGGTTGTTTGTGAAATTCAGATACTATATTGAAGGAGAAATGTCCCGGCTGCGAAGTCGATCATCCGAGTCAGAGGAGACACGACTGTATTATGTTGTCAGACCATAGCTGCCCAAAAAGTGCGTGTTGTAATTTTTACCCTCGCGCGTGGCGCTCGGGCATGCATCGAGTCTACTCAGTTTATTATTATGACTATTATTATGTCATAATAATAAACTGAGTAGACTCGATGCATGCCCGAGCGCCATGCGCGAGGGCAAAAATTTCAACACGCACTTTTGGGCAGCCTATGGTCAAACGAGGAGGGATGGTTACTGCATGGTTTGGAAGCAATGGAGTGTGTGATTGAGCGTGGAATTGTGAGGAAACAGTTTCTTGAAGCTATTCGAGTGATGAAATTGGAATATTACGGGCGTGCGAAAGAACATTATGCGAACTTGATAAAAGATCGTGAAGTAACACTTGATTTTTTTTGGGATTTGAGAGGAAGTTTTTCTGATTATCAGCCCGTTTTGAACTACCTGATGTATTGGAGCGAAGAACATTGTGCATAAGACACGTTTAGTAAAAAAAACATTTATTTATTTATAAAGTTGTAAGATGTTTTGTAAAACTACTAATGTTTTTTGAGAACAAGATTTTACAATTTACTGAATTGTTCTCGTAGTTTATTTTCTAAATGTTTTTGATACGCTTTTTTATGATCCGTTTCGAGGGATTTGAATGTTTCCTTTGTCACCATAATAGGTGAATCTTGGCGGTGAGCTGAAATGACATTGAGCATAGGCCTAGTTCCAGGGGGTCAGTTTGTGGATTCCATAAGTCATGTAGAATACGTAGTAATGGTTGATTGTCTTGATATACTTGTAGTAGAGTGTAGACAAAGTTTTGATCCGGTTCTTCTTGCAAACACATCAAGTGCTGTGTGAAATCGTTATGATTATCTACGTTTAGAATTTTGATAGCGGCCATGAATTCGTTCCATGTGGAGGACGTGTTGTTAGCTTGTTCTATAGCGTTGAACCTGTGCATTCCCCAAGTTTCGTGTTCGTCCATCATTAGACAATCATGTTCGTATATTTTACAGCCACAGCAGCGTTCATTGCGTATTTTTTGAACCTCGCATGCTACGTTCTTAGCGTAGATTACTTCCAGTAAGTGAAATATTGAACCAGCCATCATCAGAGTCAGTGTACAACTGTTTGCCGTGCTTTTTGACAAGTTTAAGATATACTTTTTAGACATTTGTCGCGTATCATAAACGCATTTGTTCCATGTTGCATAGCGTTTGTTCCACGACATTTGTCGCGTAACGTGTTTGTTCAATGACATTTGCCGGACAACACGTATAATTTGGCGGGTTGAGTTTTTGTATAAAAGGCAAAAAGATAAACTGTTTATTTTAAAGTTATAGCGATGAAGTGTTTACATGGAAAACCTGCTGCTTATTCCACAACAAGCAATGGATCCTTTTGGTTTTGTGGTCAAAACCCTACCTGCAATTTCTTCTGCGCGGAAGATGAAGGCTACATGTATGAAAAAGCCATAACAGCTTGGAGATGTGCGGAGCAGCCTCATCCTCGGTGCGATGAACAACATAAGCTTGCAAAAATGTGTGTGGTAAAAGATTTGATGAGGGTGAATTATGGAAGACCGTTCTTCGTGTGTGGAGACAAGACGAAGCCTTGTTCCTTTTGGATGTGGGGTGATGTGCAGCCATTAGCGAAACCGGAATGGCGCCATGGATTACCGTGTGTGGTCTGTAAGGTGAAAAAAGAATGTCTTAACAAAGATCGCTTATTCTTTAGTTGTCCGAATGACAAGGAGAGTTCGTGCCGGTTTTTCGAGTGGGCACCTGACGAACAATTGGGATTTTTTCAATCTGTGAACGTATCACTTTTTTCTAATGGTCCATGAGTTCCATTAGAGGGTCAGAGTTGCAATAAGAACAGTTATTTAGCAACTAAATTCATGCATGATTTTGCAAACGAGCTAAAGTTGTAGATGATTTCATCATGATTACGTGTATTTTTTTATGAAATGTTGTACATGATGACGTCAGTCATGATTTTTACATATAAATAAATCGTTTCACTTGTTGTATTCATTTGCTGCGTACGAGATTTGATCGCGTGCGAGGAAGTCACCGTAGTCGTTCTCGTTTCCATTCAAATGTTGCTTTTATAACAGTAAATCAACAACGAGAGAAAAAGTTTCACAAACTAAATCTCCTGCTGACTAAAATCCCCTACAAAACGTGCAAATAAGTCATAACATTAAAAACAGGCCAGATATTTAGTACTAATATACTATTTGCGCCGGATAAACGCTATATAAATGCTACAAATTATTTTTGGAAAGCAAAAAAAGCCAACTTTCTTTGGGTTTTTTTGAAAAGTCGTCGTGAGGACTACGAGGTTCTCCACAATTTCGTACTCAGATGGGCGACGGATACGACTTTTTAGCGTCAGTACGGGATGGCGTAAGCATACAGCATGCGTTTAGCTTGACGAATCTCGTACTCGTAGTCGTACTCGTAGTCAAATCTAAAGCTCCCTACTAGATGGGCTTCGAGAAAATCGTATTGACATGAGAACATTATCCCATCATGTCAAATATTTGTTTGAGCATCACGGAGCGCTGTACAGTCAAATGGTATTGAATGTTAATGCTCGCATAAATTGACACGGCATAGATTCAGTTTTTAAACTATTTATTTTTTAAAGTACAATAATTATTATTTACACAAATAAACAGTTCTTACCGTAAACACATTGTCCGGCTTTTACAGTGTTCTCCAGTTTAGATCGTCCATCCTCCGTTTAGTAGTTCTGTCCTTTAATGCTCTACGGGCTTAACAAAGTTAACATCCATAACTTTGAACGCACATCATTTCTTGTTCGCAGGCAACAATAGTACTTTCTCGTAGTCGAGTAAATAAACTAAAATGCCAACCATTTCTTGTGGTCCTCCGATTTATATTTTCGTTTACTATTGTCTCCATGCTTTAATCTTGCATTTTGTAAGTAAACGTTAAAGTTTCTCTCCATATCCTCTTGTCGCTCTAGTAAATTTTCCAGACTCTTTTCTACGTTGAATTCTTTTGGCTCTTCACTCTGTCGAGGTACACGAATTCCTATTTTAATCCACTTCAACCATTTCTTGCGTTCCTCTGTGTTCATATCATGTACTTGATCGAGATGATTTGCTAACCTTGCAAGATTTGTACTACCACAACCAAATACAGGACAGTCCCTACACGTGCGACCCATGTTTGCTCAACGAATTCCTATCAATAATTAGCTCATTTTTTCGAGTTCCGGATATTATATTTGGCCCGAAATGGCACTTTTTGGCCCGATTAGGCCCGATGGCCCGATTGCTGACTGGGCGTTCTAACCCAGGCAGGACAGCCACCGTTATTGTTTGGGAGCTATGACGTCACGGCAAAAAGTAACAATATTTTTGCTCTAAACATATATACATTTTCGTGTTCGCCATACCCCCTTTTTTTCCTCCTTTTGAATTTGAGATTTGTTGCATATAAATAAATTGTTTCACTTGTTGTATTCATTTGTTGCGATGGAAGTGATATATGAGAACATTATCTCATACTATTAATGATTTGCTTGAGCGCCACGAGGCATTGCACAATAAAATGGTAGTGAATGTTAATCCTAATGAAATGCATGTTGTTTTTAACACGATCAACGTGACTAATTTTGGCCGTGCTATGGCCTATCTGACATTAGTTTATTTCATGCATGCCTCTGAAGATACTACGCGGAGGGAACAAGGGCAAATAATGTTAGCCAATCAGCGCGTTTGTTTACATTTTGCGTTCTTGACCAATCAGAATGCCTGAAATTCGAAACATGTAAACAAAAGGAGTGAGAAAATAACACCTTGTTCTACGCCCTCGGTGACATTCGATATTAAACTTTTTTCGCCAAAACTGACAAATTC